CTGTATGTAGAGTGTGTATAAATCGCTTTTTTGGCAAACTTTAAGTTTTGTCCAATTCAGTTGAATTTTGGTGGCTGCCGTAGTCGACATCCACGATACATTAAACTCGGAATAAAGAAGAGATGAACCTTTGAGGTTCATATTTTTTTTTTTTTGCTCAAATGAGGCAAACCGAAAAAAACAAGTATTACATGCAATAGAGATTGCAAAAAAAAGAGAAACAAACACATTTCAAAATATTGTTGTAGCGCAGCAAATAGAAAAAATAAAAAAGCTCTCTAATGGCTAAATGTGTATCCAGTAAATTGTAACTGACTTTTGAATGTAAATTTTCAAATAAAAATCTTGAAAATAAAAAAATATGAAACAAAATTTAAAGGGATGCAAAATCAAAGCGTGTTTGTAAAAAAAAGTGTGTAAAATATTTATCAAAGAAAATTACGATAAAAACAAAACAAACTAAAGCGAAACGAACGAAATGTGAAATGTAACAAACAAAACAAAATACACTTGACTTGCCTGCTGCCATTCAAACAGCCTGCCGCACAAATCTACTACTACCACAACGAAGAGATACAGATACAAGATACAAATACTTACTGCTACAACAGATTGGTTGGTCGTTCATTTGTTCGGTCCGTTTATGTTGTTGCTTTTGTTTATGGTCGGCATTTGTACAAAGCAGATAGTCGATTCTTGCCACTGTTTTGACTGACTCGCGGTTAGTGTTTATGTTGTTCTTGTTCTTGTTATTGTTTTTCTTTTGCTGTTTATCCGCACATTACTTATTGTGTGCGGCTATGCGAGTATTAAAGCAAGCAGCCAAAGAAGAGGCCACAAAAGCCGGTGTAAACGTTGTCTATAGATACAGATACTTATTATCGTATTGTCGTATCAATAAATGTGTGTTTTAGTGTATGTGTTACTGAGAATATGCGTGTGTTAAACCAAAAGTCAACAAAAATAATAACAACATTCATGCCAGTGTGTCTGTCTATCCGCTTTAGTGTCTGTCTGTAAGTCCGTCCGTCCAGCAGCTTAACAAATATTTAATACAAAAAATTACTCGCAGCACGGAATATCGCGTAGCGCACGGCATTGAACACGTTGTGATGAATGAGTGAGTGTGTGTGACGTGTTGTCCATACACGTTTTCTATATGGTCTCGGTCTCAGGGCCCATAAAACGTTTGTATATTGTGTTTTTTGTATGACTATGGATGGAGAGTACCAAAGTACAAAAGCAACAAACAATATAATTGTATCTCTCACCCAACACTTAATTGACGTTTTTATAAGTCGGAATTTATAGCAATTGCTTTGTGTTGCAGCGCCAACCATAAAATACTTACAATCAAATAAACAACAACAGCAACAACAACAATCAGAAGAAGGGCGCGCGCTACTTTTGTAAATAGAAATATTATTGATGTATTGAAAGGTTTGATATTAGTTTGTTTATTATTGTGAATTGATAAGTTAGACGATTAATTAAAAATCAAATTTATTGTTTGAATTATTGGTAAAAAAGTTTAATGTAAACAATATACATACATTCATACATATGTATATGTGTATAAGTTCCACTAACTCCCACTGGGCGATTCGTTAGCAAGTTTCAGGTGATATGGTTTGTTAACGCTCTTCCCAGTACCGCGGTTTTAGTCATGATTCAGCGGTTATTGCCTAATTTCCTGAGACGTCCGTAAGATCATTCAGGATATACGACTGAGACGCCTTCTAACTCTGGCTAGCTTGAAATGGAAGCATTAAAGCCATGACCCGGATAATACTTAATCATAGCTATCTGCTTGAACTTTTCACAGAGGAATCGCTCTGGCCATCATGAAGTTAGTGGCAATCAGAAGACATTCAAACTCTGTAAAGAGCCCCATACTCCAATGTAATCAATATCAAATCCCTTATCTGGGACTGGGATTATAATGGTTATATATAAACTGTAAATATCCATTCGTAATGTCGCAACTGAATCATCGTTTTACTATTTGAACTTTTGCCTTTAAACCTCTAATTTTGATATGAATTCTCAGAGGAAATTATAGGAAGATTGTGCTTAAGTTACTCGATAAATATGCGTCCCTGGTTCACAATATACTCCTCTTTCTTCTGCTGCAGATTCATTTCAAAATTCGTGAAATTATTATACAAATATCTTACAGATCAAGTTCAAAGTGCTTCAGAAATCTATTGTGGCGTCTATCTGCTCAGGAACTAATGGATTTTGTATGGAGTTGTTCACAGTAACAAGTTTTAACCAATTTCCTTGTTCTTAGGGTCATGGCGAAACTTCATCTCTCGAGGCAAAGAAGAATAAATTGTCGAGATCTCGTATGGAAAAAAGATATTGCTGGCAGTTTACGCTAACTTCAGTCCATCTTACTATGTTATCGAACATTTTGCCGCAACTTTATTTCTTGAGGCAAAGAAGAGAAATTGGCCGGATCTCTCATGGAAAGTAGATAATTTTGAAACAGCTTGCATCTGGGAAAGTTATTGCTCCAAATAACTTTCTACAATCATATCAGGTCACAGAGAATCACACTGTGATCGATTAATACTTTTAAATGTTTGAAGATGCATGTTGATATAATGTCTGTAAGCCTACGTTTTGAAAGTAAGACCTAGTCTGTGTATACCCACTGTAGTGGTTACTTACACCAAACTCCCCTGAAGATTTAAACTGATGTATGTACAGTGAATATTTCTGTTTATTTTCATGTTTTTTTTTCTCTTCATATTTCACACACTGGCGAATCTGTTTTAAGCATAACTATAATGCCCAAAAAAGAAATAATGCCTCAAACCAGCAACTAACTACAGGTCGAAACTAAAGAAGAGGAAGCCCAAGTCAGCGGCAAAAGTAAAACAAATGAAAAAACTTCAACAAAGTGTAGAAATGATATATTTTTCAAATCACGTTTTACCTTTTAATGTTACACGCTCTCTCTCTTACAGTTTTTGATTTTTTTTTTGGCTCTCACATGGTAGATTTATGGGTGCTCATCATCCAAAAATATACACATAGTAGGAATACTACTCACTCTAACCAAAGTTTTAGTAGATGTTACAAGCAAACTTTTGGATATTTTTGTTTTACATAGAGAACCAGCAGTTTTGAAGAAAGGCAAAGTAACCTTTTAATATTTATGGGGTGTTTGACTATTGAATATTGTGTCCCCCAGTAATCTAGTGAGTAGCTAATTTTCACTTTACTTGTCCCAAAGTAATCTAGAGATAATTTACATTAGTTATTTAACTCATATCAGTTGCTGGAGTCAAAACAGCATTATTTGTAGTTTGTGAAGCTTCTAAGGTAAAGTTACTTGTTGGAGACAGCCACCCCGAACTACAGGGGTATTTTGGATGATTTTCGTTTGGCAGTTAGAGTAAGTGTGTGTGTGGTTGTTGTAATAATGCATTAAGTTTATGGGGCAGTAAAAAGGGTTTTTATTTCTATTTTGTTGCTGTTGTTGTTGGTTTTGTCGTTATTTTGGTGAAACCTGAAATTCGCAAAAAGTAAGAGATTTTTTTTGTGGGGGGAAGCTTAAATCTAACATAATTTAGGTTGCATCATTATTTTTACTAAATGAGAATTTAAACTAAAAGTAGAATATTTACACACGTTTACAATTATTATAAGAATATTAGCTTCTTATGTGTGTGTGTGTTTTCAAAAAGGTGGTTAAATTCAAATTAGCATTTTTTATTCCAAACAGTTTATAATGTTTGTTTTTTGTTTATTTAAATTGTTATTACTTAAATATTTTCTTTGTAGTTTGTATTTGTTAAAAATTGGTTTTTTCATGATTTACAGTTTAAGTTGTTTTTCTTTTATCTTCAGTTTCTTTTTCTCTATCTTTGAGTTGTTTTTCTTATTTGTATCTTCCAGTAAAATTTCGTGTGTCATAAAGGTTGTTGTTAAAATAATGACATTTTGACATAATTTTTTGTTGCTGTTGTTGTTGTTAATTTATGACTTAATTATAACTTTGTTTCATGTTATTTTATACTATTTGAAAGTTGGTGGGAAACTTTTTAAAAATTCATAAGAGTTTGGACTTAAGTACTACTTATTTTTAAGTGGTTTAACACTAAAGTTAAAATTACAAGTTTTAATTATATTTTAATAGTATTTTAAGGAAGTAGTACTGAAGTCAGTCTCAAATCAGGGAACGCATAACCTCAAACATGTTTCGATTAAATTACAATCAATTATTCCCGATCACCAGTCTTTTATATATTTTTATAGTTCCCATAATTAGGAAGTCAAACAAAAACAACATGGCTCGGGTCTCAAGAGATCGATTTTAAGCTGACTCCCGTGATATTGTTGATATATTATAGAGCTCCTTTTAATGAAAAAGAGGGAGGAAACTTTTGATGAAAAACGATTTTTATTCTCGAAAATCGAAATCTTAGTCCAAGAACCAGAATATTTTTGATCTTAAGAGGTTGATTCCAAGATGGAAGCAGTGATATTGCTGATATCAGTAACCTGTTGTAGCTTTTCAAATAAGTATTATCTAGTTTTTGGGTAAAACGAGATTTTTATAAAGAAAAACAAAATTTTAGTAAAAAAAACTAGATTTTTAAACAAAATGCGGTAATTTTAGCGAAAAAATTAAAATTTTTGATGAAAATAGTTTTGGTAGAAAAATCTGAGTTTTTGGTAAAAATAAATTTTTTTTTTTTTTTTTTGATGGAAAACTACTTTTTAGTGAAAAAAAAGTGTTTTTGATGAATAAACAAATTGGGTGAAAAATTAATTTTTAATAAAAAAGTAAAGATTTTAGATAAAAAACGAGTTTTTAGTGAAAAAGCGTATTTTTGATTAAAAAAGTAGTTTTTGGTGAAAAAATTATTTTTGATTGAAAAACTAGTTTTTGGTGAAAAAATTATTTTTAATAAAAAAAAAACATATTTCTAAACGCAAACTAAAATAACGAATATATTCCTTATTTTTCTTTACAACAATTTTAGAACTCCTCAATATATACAATAAGAAAATACAAACCGTTTTAAAAACGGATCTGTGCAATTCCCCAAACAGAGGCTTTAGTTAAATAATTCCAAAAACAAATACAACAAAAATCTTTTAAAACTAAAATGCAACTTCTAGAAGATGAATGTAAAAATTTCACACAACAACAACAACAAACAAATGTGACACAAGTTAAACAGCAGACATCCAGTGCAACACAATACAAAATGGATAAATTCTATCCACCAAAACCGAAAATCAACGCATTTAATGAGTTGTTCACTTGTTATTTGTGTCAAGGTTACATGATAAATCCCACAACTATAGATGTTTGCGCTCATACCTGTAAGTAGTCCGGCCTTTAAAAACCAAATAATTTTAATAAAAATTTCCTTAAAACTACTCCAAATATAACAACCATTATTTGTCTAAATTGTTATTCTAAATAGATTGTCGCAGTTGTATAGCACGGCATTTGGCTGTCGAATGCTATTGTCCGCAGTGTGGCAAACCCATTACCACTGCGAATCTTCAAGCCGATGATGTTTTGCGTTCGATTATATATAAACTGGTACCTGGTCTCTATCAAAAGGAACGCGAACGTTTAGTGCAATTTGTAAATAGTAAGAAAAATGAGGGAAAACTTATAGGGGCCACAGAACAGAGCTTAAATGAATTGCTGGAGAGTGATGATGAGCTATTCTCACCTACCGATCCCATTAGTTTGTCACTTGAATTTCATCCGGTGTTGGCGGAACAGTGTCCCGAAGGTTCAGTGCCACCAGTACGCTATTTGCAATGTCCGGCTAGTGTTAAAGTGCAGCATTTGAAACGGTTTTTATGCTCGAAATTCGAAATAGATCCCTGTAATCGTCGGGTGGGCATCGATATCATTTACGAGGATGAGGTTCTACCCAGTGATTTTACTTTAATGGATGTTGGCTACTGTTATAAATGGCAAAGGGTAAGTTTCTTTAGCCTTAATTTAATATCGAAATTAAACTTTATAAATTAATAATTTGTAAAATTTAAAAATTTTGTGTTACACTCTACAATTTGCCTTTATTCTTTCCCTTTCTTTGATTTCTTTAGCATGCACCCTTAAAACTTACTTATAGAATTCTCATATATGATGAAGATACAAACTCGAATTCCGATAATAGTTTCATATCAGAAGATAAAGTTTTAGATAAATCTCCTAAATCTTGTTTAGAAAAATCACCATCGGCGACTTTAAATTCTAGCAAAACGGTTTCATTTGCTGAAAATAAAACACAGATCAACGTGAATGGTGATAAAGAGCAAGCGAAAGCTAACATTCTCTCATCACCCACCACATCATCTCCTACCCAGCTGACCAAAGTAAAATCTTCGAAATCTTCTTCGAACAAACACTCAACGTCACATGCCACATCATCAAGCCTAGAAGTACCTGTAAAAGTAACAATATCACGCAAACCAACGGATAGTAAAAAATCGGTTTCAAAAAAATCATCGTCCGCAGATGATTTTGCAATGCCCACCACTACCAGTGATTTTAAGAGTTTACGTAGCAATGATATACGTTTTTGTGATTATGCTATAACATCATCCACCACAAACACCAGCTATTCCAATACCCATACCACTTTGGCTAATAACTCCGTACAATCCACAAAAAAAGAAAAGCCACTGGCCATCAAGGAGGAGAAACCGTCAAAATGTGATATTGTAGTAAGTATTCCTCACAATCAAATGCAGGAGGAATGGGAATCGAAACCTTTGTCTCAGCTAAAGACAGCTAGTAAAAAGTCTCCGAATTCTTCGGCAACAGAAATGGCTGCTGCCGCTCCACCACCCACCAAGAAAGTTCGAAATGTACCAAAACTCAAAATTGAATTGAATAGTTTAAAAACGAAATTAATAGAAAAACCTAAATCGGCTGATATACGTTTGGATACATTAATGTTGAAACAACATCGTCCACGTAAATTCTCACTAGATGAACCTCAACCCGTAGTGGATAAGGTAGATTTGGAGACGTATGTTAAACAAATTGGTTTGAAACCCATAGAAGTACAAACAACCAGTACACTGGAGACTCCCGATAAATTCACACCAAATGCCTCGCCCATGTCCTCAAGCTCATCTACCACCTCCTCTTCTACGGGTAATTTTAATTTTAACTGTAGTGCAGATATTACCTCCTCCTCGTCGTCTTCTTCGCACAAGAAACGCAAGAAAAAACATTCCAAAGATTCTCGCGAATCCAAGGATTCGAAAAGAAAGAAAATGCATGCCGAAATATCATCTCATTCGGCAGAGGAGAGTTTAAAAATGAAAGTTAAACTAACACCTTCCATAAATTTAAAGTCCTTAAAATTGGAGAGTAAAAAGTCACCACCTTTTAGTATGGAGCGCATAGCAGATCCTTTGGCCTTTGAGAAGCCCAAATCTCCCAGCAGTAAAAACGACTTTGAAAAATCCAAGTCACCCGAAAGTAAAAGCCATGAACGTTCAAAGGACAAATCGAAGCCTCGTTCTTCTGAAAGCAAAAAATCTAAATCTTTGGATGGCAAATTATCCCAAGACAGCAAAAAATTAAAAGATTTAGCGAAATCTAAACCTTTGGAAATCAAAATAGCTTTAAGTAATACCACCAGTAAGCCATTAACAAAAGAGTTCGATGATGATGAGGATTTGATAATACCTGATTCAACTTCTTTAGGCTTAAGCAAATCGTTATCATCTATAAAGGAAACAACGTTGCCACACTCTCCTCCATTGCCGCCAAGTTTATTTAAAACCACACCTCTGACCTTTTCGACTTTCTCTCCCAATGTAACGACTGTGGCCAAGCCTAAACCAGTTGCAATGCCAAAAGATTCTAAAGATAAGCCAAAAACTCCTCATATGAAACCAATAGCTCCTAAACCCATAGCTGCAAAGCCAGTCACACCACCAACATCATCATCAACGTCAACAGCATCATTTAAAACGCCACACTTTGTAGTTCCTAATCCTCCACGTTTTATGGCCTCAAACACAACAAAGTTCCTTTCAACACCAACCTCAATCGCCAGTGCGGCTAACAAGCACATGGGTAATCTACTCAAAAGGTCCATTTCATTAGATGACAACAAAAACTCAGGACCTCTAAACAAGCAGCAGAGATTAGAAAAGCCCAATCAAATTACAGTTAGTGCCTACGGCAGTAACCTACACATGACCAAAGTTGAAATACCAGCCACACCAACATCCTCCACGGCAAAGGCCACATATGAAATTCCTCTGTACTCTCCACTCTCCGCCTCCTACAATCCAAAATGTTCATTTAGCGTAAACTCCACGACCGCAGCGGCTAAAAGTACAACAAAGTCTACATTACAAAACCCAATGACCTCCAGTGCAACACCAGTTCCAACAGCCAAACACACGTTCACCGCAAATACTGCGGCAGCCAACAAAACCGATATGGAAGTTAAAAAAGCCACAACTAATGATATTAAGCCTTCTGCCACCACGGCCAATAATAACAACAAAACAAAACCTACGTTAACAACATCAATGACAACTTTAATGGGCCCACCTATGCCAATGCACAAGTTGAACTCTAGTTTAACTGTGGTACCCACAGCAGTGAAGTCACCTCCTCTCAGTACTGTCCTGCCATTTGCCTCCACATCATCGTCATCCTCCTCATCCTCATTAAACTTAACACCAACAGCTCAACACCATACTCCTATGTTGAATACAGCTTACCTCTCTTCACCACTCTCCATGGTGAATTACCGACAGAGTAAGGTTCTCTTGGCTCATGTCAAACCAACGAATTTACCAGAAATGAAAATAGAAAAAACAACTTCAACTACAACTGCAGTAGCGGCTGCAGCTGCAGCAGCGACAACAGTAGCTGCCACAGCAACAGCGACAACAAAAACACCAGTAGCCACAACAAATGGGTTGGCAACAGAAAAAGCTAAAAGTAGTCTAAGACAATTTAGATTACCCTCTAGGGAATCAGGCCAAGATATACTGGATTTATCAGCCTCAACAAAAACCTCCACAAATGGTGTGACGGAAAAGCAAGCTTTCAAAGCAACAACAACCCCCATACCCACCAATACAACTACAGCAACCACATCAGGCAGTACCCTGGAAATGGCTTTAAATAAAATCAAACAAAATATGACCAGCACCACCACTACTACAAACTCCCCTAACAGCAACTCGGCAAATGCTATGGATCATGTTATTAAAAAACAGGAACTGCTTTCACCCATTTCCGATGATTTGCAAAACTTGCATTTACTGTCGGAATCAGCTACAGCCAGAGAGAAAATTGCCATTAGTACATCGACCACGACCACCTCCTCGTCAACGTCTTTGTATGAAAAGGCGAAAATAACCCAGAATTCTTTGGTCAGACAACAAAACGCCTCAGTGCGTAATATACCAAATCCTTCGGCATTGGCTTTTCGCAATCAACAGCCAGCCACAATCATTCCACCCATGGTCACTATTGCTGCCGGTTTGGCAACATCTCTCACCGACCTCGATAAACCTCTACTTTTGAAAACACCTTCACCACCTAAATCACCTCACTCACCCAACTGTTCTACCTCCTCGACTTCACCTTCACGCAATGCCAGCAAAAAACATCCTTCCATCGATCAAGTGGCAGCCAGTTTAAATCAGCGGGCCTCAGCGGCAGCAGAAGCCAAAGCCAAACACAACGATGAAACATCCTTGGTAACATCCACTTCATCTTCGCTGGCGGATAAGTTGGAAAGCAAGAAAGAAATAAAACAAGAAACTACAGAAATACCAGCACAAAGTGAGGCGGCAAGTGCTGCTCAACCTTCGTCTACGGTTAGTTCGTGTCCCCTTAGTGTGAATGTGCTTGACATTAAAAAGGAACCCGAAGAGAAGATGGAGGAAGTGTCTGAAATAAAACCGGCTTTTATGAATGCAACCACTAAGAAGACCTCAATGGTTGAAAATTTAGTGACATCGGTGATTAATGTGTCAACGTCCACATCTACTCTATTAACCGCTGGTACGGCTGCTGGTTTTTGAAGGAGTTATTAAAGGTAAGTAGATAGATTAAGGGGTGTATTAGTAGTGGGGATTTTACTGGAGGCACAAAAATATTTCACTGAAATCGAAAATCTGCAATCATTTCAATACCGGGGTCAAAGGTTACACTTTGAATTTTTAATTAAAACACATACATAAATAGTACCGATTTGTACTTATCGGGGGATTTTGATTGAAATTTAGAAATATATATTTACTGATACGACATTTTTTCGGAAGGAAAAATAATTGACGCCTTCATAACCATAAAGATCCGAAAATATGTTGGAACAATTTTTGAATATTCCATTCTTTTAACAAAAAGAAAAAATTAAAAAAAAAAAATCAAAATTTAAAAAATAAATTGAGCTACAATCCGAATCTGTATCTCGTTTCTGTAATTTTCTCGAATCGAGAAAAAACTTAAAATATAATAGTCTTCCAGTTTTTAACAGTGTGACTCTGATTATTTTTAAACTGTACTCATTAAAATTTAATAAGAAATTTTTAAATTGTATTCACCCCGTTGTGTTAACACAACGGGAGCGGAATTAAGTGGACCCATGTGAGCCACTTATATTCACCCTGTTTTACACAAGATGATCATGAATTTTTCGACAGATTTTCTCGATGCGAGAATTACAGAAATGGGGCACTGATCTCAAAATAATTGTTTCCAATTTTAGGTTAAGATATCTCAAAGAATGCATTATATAGAATAGAGTTTTAGACTTAATTTTGAAGCCATTGCATAGGACTTTCTAATGACATAACTCTGTTCTGTTATAAGGACTCAAATATGGCCATAAACGTATTCTTTTTTTAAAAAAATTATGAGGTCAGGTTCAGATTTCGCGCAGCAGTCGGTTTGTTATTTAAAGTTTTCATTCTTTAGCTTTACATTCCATTAAATTAATTCCCAAGACAGTTCATTTCTTATCGAAGTTAATTCAATTGAAACATGTGTGTATATATGCCATGGGCGAGACTTGTACAAGTCTAATCACTTTAATCATGTCGATTCATGGTTTGTCAATTTATTTTAATAACAGTTTCTTTTGTTCTCTTTCTCCTTCATTTATTACAGTTACTGTCTGTTACTTCTACTGAAAGTTCTACTCTGGTAATTCTCCTCTAAACAACAACTAAAATACCCACTCGATCGATGTTTTCATGCTTTGCTTATGTTATATGGAATCAATGTTGAAACTAACCGTGTGTAACCCCCACCAGGCATCATCTGAAGATGCATAATAATAACATAAACAAAAATTATTGCAACGATAATTTTGCAAATAAATTCCCACAGCATATTGACATCAGACAGATAGATATGCTAAAATAAGCTGAAAAAAAATAAGAAAATTATGGGAACGAAAAAAGAAGATAAAACAATAGTGTGTATGAAAGAAAAATAGCATCATTATTATTAAAATTAAATAAAGAAATACAAAAAGAAACAGAAGAGAGTTGAAAACAAAAACGCAAATTTACCTTAATGACGGCATAAATATGGAAAAACGGAATTTTTGTCAGACAATTTCATCACATCAAGCAACTACGGGCATAAGCTCAACAACAGCAGTAAATTGCCCGGAGAGTAAATAATTGCAATCAAAGAATGGTTTTAATGGTAAGAATTTAAACTAAAATTTTCCAAAAAAAGAAGATTGAAAGTGCAATAGAAAAAATCATTTAAAATGGTTTTTTAACATATTCGTAAATACACACACACACACACAAATTAGTAAATAACTAAACTTATTCGTATCAATAAATGTAAATAAATTTGTCAAATTTATCAATAATACTTTACCTATACGAGGGCAGTTTAAAAATGTCTTTCAAAATTTTAATTTTATTTAACATTTAGCCAATAATTTGGTTTATGACAATAGTTTTATCAAGTTTAAAACATCATTGGTCACATATTAACATCTCGCAAGTTCTTAAACTACTTGAGTAGAACCAAAGAATAGTTAATACATAGAATGTGCGTACATGAAAAGATTTCAATGTCGGGTCGTAATATTCTTTGGTATAACTAAGATTTTATCTGGCATCATCATTACCACTTTGGGCAAAAAATTTCAGTTAGCAGTTGTCATTATGTAACCATATGTTTTAAAAAACTAAAAACCAAAAAAACATTTTTATACCGCCTTCGTATAAAATGTAAATGCAATAATAAATACAATCAATATTCATTTAGTATGTGCACACACTTATCTACATACAACATCATATGGCATATTAACCCCACACATACAACTTATCCATACATAAATACATACAGTGTCTCTCATAATTCTAATATATTGGAACTTAAGCCCATTTTTATAATACTAGGATCAACTATTTTCGAGGAAATTTTCTGGTATTTATTATTTTAGATATCAGTTTTATACATTTTAAGTTTTCAATGTGTTGTGGAAGTGTACAACACCAAAACATGCCTCGAAGAAACACCATTCAAAACAGTAAAATAATTATTTTTATATACCAATGGCCTCCATGCTGCATTGCACGATATCATTATGATCTAACTCAAAAATGTTGATATGTGTTTAAATATTATTTACTATGATCAAATTAAAACCAAAATTTTGGACTTACAGTGTTATTGTAACGGGCAACATAAGCGTGAAAGTTACGAGTAGTAAAAACTGAAATCTACTATACAGGATGACGTTTTGTTAAGGCATGTTTTGGGGTTGTATACCGCTATAATATATTGAAAATTTGAAATATATTAGTGCCAATATGTACATGAATATACACTAGACAACTTTGTCGGAAAATATAGTCCCTAGAGATACGAAAAGGGACTTAGGATCCAAATAATTCAATTAGAAACTGAAAAACGATACCAAATATACATCTTGGAACGTTTAAGTACAGATCCTTATAACAAAAAATATTATTTTTAGATACCCTATGGGTTCTATTAAATTCCAATGTTAAATTTTTGGTTTTATCTCTGGAAAAGGGTGAAAACATTACAAATATAGCCAAAAATCGCCATTTTAATGATATTACATGAAAAGAGGGCACAAATCCCCCAAAATTGTGGACCAAATGGGTCAAAAATATATCCATGCGGTTGATAGTAACCCCTTAAAACAATATTGAGCATAAAACCATGCGATTCTAGAATATGTGTATCGTATAATATGATCATATATGAAATACAGGAAAAATTCGCATACTTTTGTGAAGTAGTTTTATGGACTATTAAAAAAAAAAAGCACAACTAATTTATGTAAATAGAAAGTTTTCAAATTTAAGGGGCGTGATATCAAAACTAAGGACTATCTAGACAATATAACAAATTAATTTATTTATTTTCAACAAAAAATATATTATTAAATTTGGTTTCTTTTCATAGTTAACCCAAATTCGAATATTTATGAGAGACACTGTATTTACCAAACGAGAAAAACATTTATAAAATTGAAAAAAAGAGAAATTGTAATAATGATAATGAAAATAAAATTCTATAGAGTAAATTTTTAAATGCAGTTAATCACAGTAAATTGAGTTGAAAAAAAAAAAAACGTTGTATTGCTGGTAGTGGCGTTTTTATATAGAATACATGAAAGTAAAGAGAAAAAGGAAAAAACAACAACAATATATATATTTACATAGCTTACATACATAGTTAATAAACATACCGACACTTACAATTACCATGGTGTACTCTATAACTACTACATAGTGGGTGTTTTGTTTATTTTCCCTTGCACAAGTACTTAATATTTGTGTTGTTGTTGGTGTAATATAATTTTAATTTTTTTTTTTTAATTTGTACTACTGTCTCTGTGTTGTTGTAAAATTTTTGTTGCTATTTAAACAGTTCGTTAAAATTTTCTATACGAATTTTTTTGTTTCGCCTTGTTACGAAGCATTTTTGTTGAGTCTGTGCGAAATGTTGTTGTGTTCACATTTGCCATGTAGTTAAAACACAGTGGGTTGAAATTAGATGATTTTTTAGAAAAAATATATTTTTCTTTCTATATTCTTTTTCTAAAGAGAGAATTCTCTTGGGAATTAATTCAATGAATTCACTCTAATTTAAAAGACAAGTTGAATATATTCGAATGCTTTCTAAAGCTGGAGGTCCACACCACGCGTTCTACGTTCTTCGCATTGTACGCCGCTGTCAAAAAGTAGAATCAGTGTTGTTGTGTGCTACAAGTTACAAAAACTCGACGAGTAGAATACTTAAAGTAGATCTACTTTCTACGTGTGTAAGCGTCATAAGCGGCGCACGAACATTGACAATTTATCAATTTTAATAAACTAAAACGAGTTAAATTTTGAAAATATAAATAGAAACTTAATACCAAGCGAAGTTCTTATAAATAAAGCAACAAATTGACGCTTAAGAAGCGTAGCATGTAACTTGATGCAATGCTTTGACGCGAAAACGCGTAGTGTGAACCTCCAGCTTTACTCTCTTCAAACTTTTCGCGCTTTACAAGCTGCAGGTTACACAACACACGTCATTTTCATCTTTCTTTTAATGTTTTTTTAAGATTATTACTGTCAAAATTTTTGTTTATATTTTAATATTGATTTCTTTCATTGTTGGTGAAAATTCTTATTCTACACAAAACAAAATACAACTCTGATCAGCTGCCGACGCGTTAAAAGTTTAAAGTTGCTGAACCTTTCGCGGCAGACGTGTTATAAACTACAGTGTGTAACTTGTTTAATTAATATACACTATTTCAACTTCTTTTGACAGAAGCCTATAACGCTTGTTGTTTACTTCCACCTTAAAGTCCCAGAACTAAGGAAAACTCTGAGATTTATTAAAAATGTTTAAATTTCAATAACTACTACATGTTAATGACTTGTACTTACTCAACAACTTACTTATCACTACTACATACAGTCTGCATTACTTATAAGGAGTCTAGTAATGACTGAAATTAATAAAAACTAATAGCAAACACAGTGAACGTATCCTCATAGGCTATTTGCTTCTCTCAAAAACAAAACTACTTATCAAACTCCTTATTTATAGGCGATCGTAGTAACTACTTACCTATTTGTAAGCGAGCACATTAAGTACTAGCCTCCCCTGTCATTAGCGTGTTAAAATAATGAATTAAAATGCTATTGTTTAAGTAAATTTAATTCCTTGCTTTTCACTGAAAGTTTTTGCTGGGTAGTTAACAAAATTTGTCATATTTATAAAGAATTTTTAACAAATAGGTATTTTCTTTTAAAAATTTCTAAGAAAGAAACAAAATTTTTTCCAATTTATCTTTCCTTTGACCCATTGTGCTAATGGATGTCGTGTCTAAAATGTATTATGAAAATTTAATTAACATATTTATTGGATTGATTTGTTTACAAACACTGATTTCAATGATTTCTAAAATGAAAAATAAGAAAAAAACAAACTACAAAATACTCTACAAAAGTATTTGAAATATTTGTGGAATATGCAAACACAAAACGTGTAACAATAGTATCTCGTTCCACAATCTTCCATAGTATTATTGTATTATTTGAATATTTTTGTTGTTTTTTTTTGACGTCATTAAAATCATCAACAACATCTTTTAAATCAGCAACAAAAACTACAACAACAAAAGATTCAGAAAATAAAAGTTCCACTACCAACATTCATCCATCCATCCATCGAAGCATTCATCCACTACTGGCAAAATCCATACATAAACAAAAACAAAATAAATGTTGATTCGATATCCATCCACCAAGCTGTCGTCACAGCCACTTGTGGTATAGATATGAACATTTTTATAAACATTTTTTTGTTGTTTTTTTTTTTCATTATTTTTGCTTTTTTTTTTTGTTTTTGAATTTTGTTTTTACACTCTTACATACCAATGTTTATTTGTTTATGTGTAAAATAGTGGAGAAAAAAAGAATGACGAGAGGAAGAGTGTAGAAAAGTAGGAAATTGTATGGAGAGTAGAAGAAGCAGAAGAAGAAAAAAATAAAACAAAAATAAATGAAATGAAATGACGTGACGTTTCGTGATGTGCGTGACGTGGTTTCCACCCGTTTTGAGGTTGTTTTCTTATTATTACTTGTTTTTTTTTGTACTTTTCAACTTTTTTACGTTACTTTTTTGTTTGTTATAACTTCAAGATTTTATTTATTTTATTTGTAATGGAAAAATAGTAGAAAATTAACATAAAGAGAAGTAAAATTATAAACTAAAGTAAATGTAAGAGAAAAATAAACTAAAAAAATATTACAATAAATGAAATAGAATTTCATTAAG